TCAGGTAACTTGTGACCTAATGTCCGTTGAAGGGAAAGAAACAAAATCTCTGCAAGCAAAACTGAAAAGATGCATGGTCTTTTTCTCCTCCTCTCTTCCCCTCCCTGTACTCCACTTTTTGTCTTCTCTCCTCTACCTTTGCTCCAGCCTGCACTCTCTCTTTTGCTTCTGTCTTTACCATTCTTTACCTTTATTACTATTTAATATGGGACAGGACTTGATTCAAACTAAAACCATGTATTTGGTGAAAATTGTCTTCCAGCTCTGTTCTGAACCTACCTGCTGTTGCTTGAAGCCACTTGCTGGTGTGCTGACTGAGGACTTCCCAGATATGGTGTCCTACGCAACTGCAACTGCCCTTTGCAGTGGTTCCTGTCATGGTGCTTAGCTTAGTACTTATACCAGAAATACAGATAATGTGCAGTACAACAGCACAGCACTTCAAAAATAAAAAAGTATTTCAGGAGAAAACTGTCTGGAGCTTGTTTTGCACCACCTAGAGATAAAATAGGAACATCTAATTCCACAATACAACATTTAGGAGCCCAAGCAGACAATCTGAAACATGACACAGAACAAGGAATTGAGGTAGCACACTGTAAGAGATGGCAAAGGCAACTGAGCCCATGGCAGATAAGGAATAGCATCTGGCAGAAGCAGTTGTTTCTGACAGTTTTTTTCTACGAGTCTGATCAAAATAGAAAAGCTCACCAGTCAGCATGAACTGATAGGCATTGTCAGAGATGGAGAAGATGTGTGGAGGGGCCTCCTGGCGCTTCTTGCCTCGGTAGGCCAACACCACCTCCGGGTTGTACACCGGCAGCCACTTGTAGGGGTTGACAGTGACGCAGAAGAGACCCGAGTAGGTCTGCGAGGAAAAAACAGAACAGAAAAGTCACTGAAGTCCATCTCCTGGCAGCTGGATTTTCTCCTTTGCCATGAAAGGGAACTTACATAGATCATCCAGGAGCTGTAGCGGTCCTTGAGGTTGTAGAGGACAGCAGGTTCATGCAGGTGGGTCAACATGGCCACATCCTCAATTCTGTCAAACTTAGGTGGGTTCATGGCATATACATCATCAGGTTTGACAGCAACCATCTATAATTCAGAAAGAAAGAGTTAATCTTGATTCAGCAACCCTCAGTGCTCCTTCCATGTGTACACACAGAGACACAAACACAGAGAAGTAATAACATCTGTAAGGCTGCTCTAATTCAGATTCTTCTTTCTGTTTAACTGTGCAAAACAAGATATGGCTATTACAGGGCAGACACTGCTGCCAGCCAGGAACTCAGCAACACTGGCAAATTTACAGGATGTAGATTTACTGTCCTGGAATTGCTACAACCACACAGACAGGATTTGTGCTGGACCAGATCTTTCTACACATTATCGGTGCTTATGAACTTCAGGTTGCTGCTGCTCATGGCTAATAGCCAGGGGCACAACTGCTGGCCAATCTACCTTTCAGCCTCCAAGATTCACACTGCACAGTGCCAGAGATTCAGGACACTAACAGCACAAGATTCATCAACAGCAAATCCCTCCTTGGAACAGATTTGTTCCACTCCTGCCTGTTGCCATTCCTAATCAAACAAAGGCTCTAGCCCTACCAAATAGCACCGTCTACTGGCTCACATTGAGGGTGACCATCCCGTCACAGAAGCCAGAGCCTGTGGGTGCATTGGGGTGGGGGGCAGATGCACAGGAAAGCAGATGTACACAGATGGCAGCAGCTTATCCTGGCCACACTGAACCATGAAGGAGCTTGAAAATCCTGTTGTCATTTCTCCGCATGGCTTTTCCCATTGCTTTTATCCATTGCTTTTATGCTGTGATTGCTGCTCCCATGGACTGGTCCAAGCTGACTAGTCCAATTCAAGGAGGAATTAGTGTTACTGCAATCATATTTGATTCAGAAAGATTGAACCCTCTTTCCAAGCTCAAGTCCTGACTGGTGGAATGATCTTGGGCTTCTTTTGAGAAAGCAAGAATTACAGGCACAGTTTTCAAAAGCAGCTTTGTGATATGCATCCCGAAATACCTTTCTAAAGCATTCAAACACTTGAGCAATTACGATTCACGGAAATTCTCTGTACAGAACAAGAGATTGCACATTAGCTGCTACTCACAGGACATATCTGGGAGTCACTATAGAGGTTTCTAACATAAAGTCAGTTCAGTGCTCATAAGAGGGCAGGAAGCTGTAAAGTATTTGTTCAACCTGGAGAAGAGAAGGTTCTGGGGACACCTTATTGCAGCCTGCCAGTGCTTAAAGGTGGCATGTAAGAAAGACGGGGACAGACTTTTTAATAGGGCCTGCTGCAATAGGACAAGGGGTAATGGTTTTAAACTAAAAGAGGGTGGATTTACATACAAGGAATACATTTTTGAAATGAGAATGGTGAAACAGTGGCACAGGTTGCCCAGAGGGGTGGTCGATGCCCCATCCCTGGGAACATCCCAGGTCGGTCTGGACAGGGCTCTGAGCAACCTGCTCTATTTGAAGATGTCCCTGCTCACTGCAGGGGGGTTGGATTAGATGGCCTTAAAACGTCCCTTCCAACCCAAACTATTCTATGATGCTATGATTCTATGACTCTATGATATTATGAATTATTAGAAAAGAAAGGGAGAAAAGAAGACAGTGTTATGTAGGGTGTTTGTCAGTTCATTCACACCTTCATTACTGATCATACCTCTTAGGAAGGATATAATTGTACTAGAAATGATCCAGAGAAGAGAAACAAAGAGGGTCACAGGTATGAAACAGCTTTTCCATGAGGAGGGTATAACTTGATTGGGATTTGGGGGTGAAAAGGAGACACTTTTGAAGTCTGCAAAGTCACGAATAGCAGAGAGAACCATGGCCATAGCAAGGAAGAATTGTTCACTTTTTCTCCTTGTGAAAAAATAAGCTGAAATTACCAGGCTGCATACTGCAGAGAAAAGGAAGCACTCTACACATACGTCAATTTTAAACTGTGGCAATCTTTCCCACAGGACACTACAGAAGCAAAAGGCTCAACTGGATATAAAAAAGCCAGCCCCCAGGAAAGCAGGTCCTTATACACACTAGCCTGCTGCAGCCTCTGCTCAGTCACATTCCTGTGATTGCTGAAGGCTTGAGGTGAAGCAATGGGTGACTGCTTTATTCATTATTCACTTTCTTAAAAATCTTGTAGCACCTACTGCCAAGATGTTGGTTGAGGTGGTTCTTTGGGCGGCAGCAAGCTATTCTGACGAAAGTTATCAGGACATGAGCTGCTAAGACATTTCAGCATTTTTGCAAGTTTAACAACTTGGAGGCTCCTCTAGGAAACTGTTTGTAGCCAGTGACACTGACAATAATTTCAGATGCAGAAGGGACTTTCAAAGTACCTGCCTGCTCTGCTACTAGTAAAGGAAAGAATTTATCAGTGGATATGACAGTGTAGATGAGAAAGGGTTAAAAGCAGTGATTGAGGAATGTCAAGACTGTCAAGGCTACAACCCAATCTGTTTCAGAGCATTGCCTGATCTCTAAAGCCTAAACCAAGAATAATTATCCATTATACCTTCATATAGACCTTCATGCCAGCATCCAGAGCAATACCTTCCTCTGCAGGTTGTGCTGATTCCAGTCAGAGGGCAGATTCTGGGAAGGGCTGATTTCTCACCTGAGCTAGTCTAGTGCTTTCTGTGTTCCTTGCCTTCCCTAGCAGATGTCCTAGGGCCCTCAGCAGGGCAGGGATGCGGGCTGGGAGGAATGCGCTTACCCTGCCGTCCTCTGTCTCAACAGTTATCTTCCCATCCTGTGCAGCCTTGATCTTCCCTTTGGTGTACTCCACCTCGGGGTCAGCCACAAAGCAGTAGGTCTTGGCGTCAAATGGCTGGTTCTGGGCTTCTATTCTCTCCTTCTCTGATTTGCGCAGGTACGGTGCAGCCTCACCAAAAACCTCCATGCCAGCGTCTCTGCTCATGGCTGAAGCTGAAAGACAGACCCTGCTGTGCTTGGTCCCTGTGCGGTCCTTAGAGTCAAGCACAGCGGGGCTGAATGTCCACCAGCCCTCCCAAATTGGGAGAGCTCGGAGAGCACCCTTCCCATCTCTCGAATGCCTGCCACAAGGGCTTGAGGGAGATATTTGCCTTTCAAAGCTGGAATGTACAAAAGCAACAAAGAAGAGCTGCTGTCCTTCATGGCCCCGAGGAAAAGGGATCCACGCCCAAAGGAGCAGGAGGACTCCCTGGGGAAGTGGGGCAAAGGGGAGGGATCTCTGAGGGATTCACATAGACTTTAGTAAGACTAAAGCCCCAAAGCCTGTTTTTCTTCCAGTTCTCCTCTTCATTCGTGGTTTCTTTCATTCCCTTTTAACATGGAGCCTGTCCTAGGCCTCCGGTGGGCAGCCGTCGCAGGTAGGAATGGACACGTGCCACGGCCTGTTAGAGCGGCTCATGCAGGGGGAGAGCAGGGACGTGCCCACAGTGAGCACAAGGGAAGACGCCAGTCTGGGCAAGCCATTAGTTTTCATGCCTGAAATTCTCACCTTAACAATCAGTCGACAGAAAGAAGGAAAGAACGGGATGACATCTCTGATCTCTGAAAGAGAAAGAGTAGAAGGTCAGACCCCAGCTACGCTACAGCCTCTCCGAGGCCCAACACCTCTCACTCGCTTACTGCAAGCAACCGCTGCAGCCGAGAACCAGCGCAGTAACCACAGATACCAGTCCTCCCCCACCCAAGGACTGGCCCAGTGGGGAATCAACAGCGGATTTCCCGCTGCGGCGCTACAGCCTTGTGAAGCTCCGAGCACAGGGAACAGCACCTGCGGCAGGAGCCCTCCACCCCTCTGCGGGTCGGTCACAGCATGGCCACAAGCACAGCCAGAGCATCAGGAGCCACCAGCAAGGACTTTGTCCCTGACAGCTTTTACAGGCTCAGCCCCTTCCCTTAGCTCAGCCCCTTCCCTATATTTGGAAGGAAGGGATTGGCAGTCCTGCCTGCTCACCAACTCATGTTCATTTTCTGCCATATACAGTATGTTACGGAAGGAGCTGCTCTTTTTTCCAATTTTAGTAACTCCGGGACCTAACTGTGGTTTGTAGACTCTTTGGTGTGAGAATTTCCTCTACTGGGAACATGCTCTCCTTCCAGCTACCACCATGGCTGGCACTTCACTCATACCTGCTCTCACCTATATGTCAAAGAAATGATAGTCCAGAAGGCACCTACCGCACTGCTCCTGCTCATGGGGTGCCTGGGCAGCGTTGCGCAGTGGGAAGGGAACGCAAAGCAGCTACCTGTGGGGTGGGGGGCAAGGCCACGGGAAGGGAAAAAAGTGATGAGGATTAATGTAGGATCAGTTATGGCAATGCTTGTGGCTTCCCATCACTCATGGGTCAAGGAGGATGGGAGGAGAGGCCATGACTGAAGTATGATGTGACAAACCACGGTAAAATAGAGGCTAATCAGAAAGAACAACGCCCAAATCTAGCCAGGGATGGATGTTTCATGAATGCCAAGCCCTGAGTATGCTACAGAAATTTCGCTTCAGATACCACTTTGGCTGGCTAGGACATTCACTACCCTTGCTGCCAAAAGGAGCGGCAGAAGCCAGGCAGGTTCTTAGACACAGCTGATTGCAATTTCCAGGTAAGAAGGATATTGGTAAGGGGACATAGTAGCTATGAAAATGCTGGGCACTAGCCACCTTTGCATGTCGGCTAAGACAGTGCAGCTCTGCTCAATTCTGAGCACTTGTGACCCACAGCACCACTTTCACATGAATCCCTGGGGCTGTAGGCTCAGCCATGCCTGGAGAAAGGCAGAGCTGTGTCTGAGGAGAAGCAGGCTGTGCAAGGATACGCTGCATCTATACAACTCTTGTTTGTGCAGCACAGACCAAGGACTGGCAGCAAGGCATGGCCAGCATTGGCTCAGACACCCCTCTCCCTTCCCCAGCACAGGGCTGTGCCACAGGCTTCCAGGACCACACTGAGCACCTTAGCCTACGTGTGTGCCCTGAAAAGCATAGGAAGCCAGTGGGAAATAGCACTGGGAGAAAAATAAAAACGTAGCTAAATTCTCCAGCTCTGCAGGAGAGGTTGGGGGTCAGGCAGAGCCCAGAGCTGAGCTCTCCCATCTCAAGGCAGAGCACCATGACCAGCAGGCAGCACAGCCAGGCTTCTGCTGGGTTTTGCTGGCCCAACAACCTGTGCACACTTTCAACAAGATAAAACTCTCAGACTCTTGCAAAACTCTTGCAAAGCTGACTCATAAACCCTTGCAAAGGGGGTATGAACCCCTTTTGGTCCAAGGTGGGCTTTGTATGGGGGTCTTTCAGTCCTGAATGCTCTATTTGGTTGGTACAGAGAAGACTGGCAATGGCTGCAAACTGAGCTCACCTGGCAGAGCAGGTGAGGACAGCAGTTGGCAGGAGCAATGGCAGCCTTCATGCCTGCATGGATAGAAGTAGCTCTTGGTGCATGAACGGAAGGGTCTTCTCCGCCCCGAGGCACCCTGCCTGTTTCGGCCATCTTCTGTCACTGTTCCCTATCACCTGTTTGCCCTCCGCACTGCATGGACACTCATCCAAGGCTGCAGCACCAGCCTTCCCCCACCAGAATGAAGCCTACAGGACTTGCGTGAAGGCAGAAGCCTATCCCAAATAGGTCCTGCCACCATCCAAAGCACCACTCCCAGCTGGAACACCCTGGGGCACCTGCAGCTGTCCTGCGGCATGGGGGACATTACCTTATCTTTCGGATACAGTGGCTGGCCTTGCTTGTGTTTGCCCAAGGAAAGATGACCCCGGGATCCTGCAGGAGCGTCACTGTCACTAGTGTTTTGACAAACATGTTCCATGTTGCCCTTAATTTCATTTAAGGTCACTAAAAATGGACACCGCAGCCACATATCTCATGAACCATGAATTCCTAGAATCCCCCTAAGCCTGGAGGATGAGGGAAAGCTTTTTTTAGTAAACATCCCCTGTGATCGGCCCTTTGAACTCAGCACAGTGGACGCATTGAGTGTCTGCAAAAAAATGAGACACGCCAGACCTACTACCAGTTTGGGGCTTTGTCCTGATACCGAATTGTCAGTGTGATTCAGACAGGGCCTTTCCTGCTCCCAGGCATGCCCAAAAGCAAGAGGGCCGGACCCTACTCCCCACACCCGGCTGTAGGATCAGAGCAAAGAGCACATGCAGGCAGCGAGAGCCACTCTCCCTGTTCCCTCTCGCCGGTTCAGGGGCCCAGCTGGAAGCAGAGTGCAGGAAAATACTTGGCAACGAGCAGTGACCCCCAGGTAGCCCCTGCTTCCAACCAGTCACAGGCATCTGCTAAGCGCTGCACCAAGAACATACAGGACTGTTTAAAAGCATTTGCACGCAGCCATTGTCTCAAATGCTCTAAATCAGGGCCATGCAGCATATCCACAAGCTGTAGGATCATTTCATGTTCTCCCCAGTCCAGCAAGGGTTAGTAACTAAAAAGATACACATTCATAACTTTCAGATCTCTAAGGAATTCCGATCTGTGAACTACGCAACCTGCTACAACAGCCGTTGTAGTTACATGCCCACTATTTGCAAAGGCCCCAGTTTTTATTATAAGTCATGCTCTTATTTCTAGCAGTACTCCATCATTATATGAAAACATTTCTCAAGATAATAGTTGCTGTAAAACCTTACTAGAAGGTAGCCTGGAGCAAGGGCTGAGATATAAAAATGTGCTTGTTATGCTGCAAAGCAGGACTGCTGAGAGACTCAGGGAGTGCAAATCAATCTGTGCATCTAGATTTTGGGGTTTTTTTCCATTGGTCTTAAGGACATGCGTTAGATTTTTCTGGCTCAAAAATAAGTGTACAAACCTTTCTATGTTTAGAATTGTCTGTGCTTTGGAGACTTTGAATGTTTGACAAGCTGTATGAACAGGGATGACAGAGCTTCATGCAAATGAAAATCACGAAGTGCCACGATAGATGTACAACTTAAATCTCTTTTTACAAATGACAATGGGAGTTGAATGAGTGGGACACTGCAGGTCTTTCAACCCAACTAAGGAAATCCCAGGATTTCAGCAAGCTGGAGAAAGATTACTGCTTTTATTCCATATGCCTGAAGATTTCCAGAGAGCAACTGACTTAGAAATACTCCGTATTTCACTCTGGCAAGGTGGCTATTCTTTCCACTCTGCAGAGGAGATCACACACAAACGATTTGCCTCCTCTAACGGAAAGAGACTGGGCCAGACTCAAAGCACGCTGTGGACGTCTGGGTGCCAGCTTCCGGGTGCTGGATTTCAGGGTGAAATCCAGGCTCCAGGGGCTTGGCACTTAAACTCCTTGCACTGTGCAGGGGGTTGTTAAGTACCTCAGGACAGTTCACAAAACTCTGCTAAAAAGAGGGAGATCTGCTTAGCCTGAGCTGACTGATGATGCTGAGCACCCAACATCAGTCCTGGAGCCTGGCGCTGCCTTTGGAGGGCTTGAGCAGAGCTCAGCCCCTCTGACCACGCTGGATCGGGTCGCTCCCAGCAGGACCAGCAGCCAGGAAACAGGAGACCTGAAATCAAACCTTTTCTTAGCCTAGGGATTTTCAGCTGATGTCTCTCACCTTCCCAGAAGAAGTGGAGACAGATGTTAAGAGTCAGTGTCAGAAGCAAAGGCAGCAGAAGAAAACTTGGCTGCAGCCTGGAGGCTCCAGGGCTCAGCTGGGGGACACCTTGCTCCTGGTATAATGTCTGGGTTTTGGTCCTATTCCTATTGAGAGATACTTCTTATTGCAATCCCAGGGCTGAAAGCATCTTGACTATTTCACCTAAAATCCAGGATCATGCATCATCCTACCCACAAAGCCGTTACCTACGACAGGCCACACACAAGTGCCACCTCTGCACTTGTGGAGGATCCAGCCAGCCCTCAGGAAAACCCAAATCTGCATGTTCTGAGGCCGAGTGGTCT